GTTATTGTTTTGCTGTTGTTGTCGTGTGTGTGTGTGTTGTTTTGTGTTTCTCGTTCTCTCCCTTTTCTTCTCTCTTCATTTTGTGTTTTCTCTCTCTCTTTCTCTCTCTCTCTCTCTCATCCTCAACACTACCTCAATGCCTCACCGTAATAGAATCCTTCATCAACATCCCACCATAAACACAGACTCAAACACCTGGATTCATCTGTGTGTCTCCTCCCATCATCTCTGTATACATCCTCCCTCCCTCCCTCCTTCCCTCCCTCCTCTACTCTCAACCCTAATTACCAACCCTGTTCTAGCGTCATATCTGTTTGTCAATCACCTTCAGTCCATTCACAACCAAGTAGAGTGGAACAGGTGCTCGAGTTCTCACATAGAGTTGAATTCTATTAGTTTAGGGGTAAAATCCTTGGTCTGATGTCTTGGGTTTTGTTTTGGTGTTTTCGTTGTGTTTGTCCTTTGGTGTAGTTCTTCCTTTGAGGATGGATATTGATTTTGGAATTATTCTTTGGGTGTTTTCGTTCTGATTTTCTTTTTTTAAATGTTTCTGTGTGGTAAGTTTTTTCGGTTTTATTACGAATGATTTTATGAAGATCTGTTTTCTTTTTTAATGATTTTAATGATGTTTTCGTTATGGTTTTGAATAATTTATATAATCACTTGAAGATTAGCCATTATAGCTTATTTCACCTGATGTTTAAGTGTCCTAACGCTACCTGGAAGGGATTAGATTAGGTTAGGTTAAGTTAGGTTAGGTAAGGTTAGGTTAGGTTAGGTTAGCGTTAGCGTTAAGGGGGTCTGGTAGTGAGGGTGTCTGGTAGTGAGGGTGTCTGGTAGTGAGGGTGTCTGGTAGTGAGGGTGTCTGGTAGTGAGGGTGTCTGGTAGTGAGGGTGTCTGGTAGTGAGGGTGTCTGGTAGTGAGGGAGGTCTGGTAGTGAGGGTGTCTGGTAGTGAGGGGGTCTGGTAGTCAGGGAGGCTTGGTAGTCAGGGAGGTCTGGTAGCGAGCGGGAGAAAAGTTGGGGTGTCAAATCTTCAGGTGATGCGATATCTAGGTGATGTTTTTGTTGTCAGGAAAATATTATTCTTATGCTCGTGTGTGTACCGACGTTCAATTCCTTATTAGAGAGAAAAGTGTTCTGATTAACTCAGTACTTATACAGCTCCGGGTAAGTGGTACTGTACAAGTATGATAATTCTACTGTTTACATTATGTGATGATACCGGAGGCCTTAGAAGGAATGTGTGGTATTGTCATTTTAATAAATACAATGTTCTGGGCGGTTGTGCAATATGTGTGTGTGTGTGTGTGTGTGTGTGTGTGTGTGTGTGTGTGTGTGTTCATTCATGTATGTGTTCGTCTATGTATGTGTGTGTGTATGGACCCCAGACCAACCCAAACTAACCGTTAGAACAAGACTTAAGGGGCCGCAAAACTTAATAGATTCTAGTCTTAATGGATAACAATCCTTAATACTTATAGGGTATAAGGGTCTGGTTCGTCCCTATAAGGACATGGGGGCCCAATGTGACCTGCAGCCGCCCATGCAGGTCTTTACTCTGTCCTTTGTTGATGTTTTTATGTATGTGTTTTTTATGGGCAATGTTTTCAAAGGTGTCCGTTTCCCCTACACTGTTTGGACGACGTATAGATTAGGCACCCCAGCATATTGACTCTAATGCTGCCTGGGGTTGTTAGGTTAGGTTATGTTAGGAGGTTCAGATTTGGTTAGGTTAGGTTAGGTTAGGTTAGAACAGTTTAAGTAGGGTTAGGTTAGATAAGGTTATAGGTTATGCCATGTTAGGTTAGGTTAACGTTAAAGTATATAAGCATCAGGTGAACTAAGCTCAGGTGTCTATTAGTCAGGTAATCCTCTTGTTTAATGAACCTGAACGACATCAAAATTAAACGACACCCAAAAGATCAGATACATGCTCTAATAAATCCAACAATCAGAGTGCCATCAGAGTCACTTCTCAGGCCGATCAGGTACACAACCAGTTGTATTCAGCGGGACGAGTTTCCTACCATAACCTGTTACTGACCACTGAAAACTGTGTGTGTGTGTGTTGTTGTGTGTGTGTGTGTGTGTGTGTGTGTGTGTGTGTGTGTGTGTGTGTGTGTGTGTGTGTGTGTGTGTGTGTGTGTGTGTGTGTGTGTGTGTGTGTGTGTGTGTGTGTGTTGCTTGAAGGTCAGGTGCTGTGAGCCGTTCATGCAGGATGTTATACGCTCCTCCTCCTCCTACAGTTATTCTCCTGGCTCTCTCTCTCTCTCTCTCTCTCTCTCTCTCTCTCTCTCTCTCTCTCTCTCTCTCTCTCTCTCTCTCTCTCTCTCTCTCTCCTTTGTTCCCGCTGTCCCCCTCCATACATTCTTACCTCTCACCCACTCTAGGTTACCTTCCCCCATCCCTCACAACAGATTACCTCCTCTCCCCACCCCTACTTTTCCTACCTCCTCCTCCCCTCCTCTCTCCTCCTCCTCCTCCTTCTTTCCTCCTCCTCCTCCTCCTTCTCCCTCCTCCCTCCTCCTCCTCCTCCTCCTCCTCCTCCTCCTCTCCTCCTCCTCCCCTCCTCCTCCCTCCTCCTCCTCCTCCCTCCTCCTCCCTCCTCGTGTCTTACCGAATACATCTTCCTTCATCTCCTCTTTCTCCCTCCTCGTCCTTCTCCTTCAAAATATAATATATTTTCCTTTTCTTCTCTTTCCTCTCCTCCAACCCCTCACACTCCGCTCCTCTCTTAACTCTCCTCTCTCTCTCTTCCATACCTCCCTCTCCTCACCCCCTCTCTGTACCTCCTCTTCCCTCCTTCTTCACCCTTCTAACCCCTCCCACCACCTCATTAAGGTAGGTACCTGGGATCACCTGAGGTGTGCTGTCCCTGGCCTTCAGTAATGCAGATTATCAGGTTATCATATAAGACGTAAACACTGTAGTTAGGGAGAGGGGTGTGGGGGGAAGGGGTGTGGAGGAAGGGGGTGGGGAGGGAGGGGGTGTGAGGGAAGGGGGTGGAGGAAGGGGGTGGAGGGAGGGTGGGGGAGGGGGTGTGGAGGGAAGGGGGGTGTGGAGGAAGGGGTGTGGAGGGAGGGGTGTGGGAGAGGGGTGGAGGAAGGGGTGGGGGAAGGTGGAGGAAGGTGTGGAGGAAGGGGGTGTGGAGGAGGGGTGGGGGGAAAGGGGGTGTGGGGGGGGGGGGTGTGGAGGAATGGGGTGTGGAGGGAGGGGGTGTGGGGGAGGGGGGGTGGGGGAGGGGAGAGGGTGGGGCTGATTGTGGAGGTGAAGGTGAGGTAGAAGTTATTTACCTGTATAAATAGACAGACTACATATATGTAAGTACGCATAAATACAAGCATATACTGTATACATGAAAATAACCTACATACCATACAGTATATACAATCACACACACACACACACACACAAGCTCAAATTACGTGTGTATTCTGTCCACCTTATGTCTACTTTTGTACTGCCTGTTATACTTCACTGTACTTCCCACCCCAGTTAATGCACACACACACACCACACACACACACACACACACACACACACACACACACACACACACATTCTGGTCGTCCCTATGTGAATGTAAGAGTTAGTGGCTCATATCCACCCATGATAGTGAGGAGGTCTGGTAGTGAGGGTGTCTGGTAGTGAGGGTGTCTGGTAGTGAGGGTGTCTGGTAGTGAGGGGTCTGGTAGTGAGGGTGTCTGGTAGTGAGGGTGTCTGGTAGTGAGGGTGTCTGGTAGTGAGGGTGTCTGTAGTGAGGGAGGTCTCTGAGTGAGGGAGGCTTGTAGTGAGGAGGTCTGGTAGTGAGGGAGGTCTGGTAGTGAGGGTGTCTGTAGTGAGGAGGTCTGGTAGTGAGGGTGTCTGGTAGTGAGGGTGTCTGTAGTGAGGGGTCTGTGAGGTGAGGTCTGTAGGAGGGTGTCTGTAGTGAGGGGTGTCTGGTAGTGAGGGTGTCTGTAGTGAGGTAGGTCTGGTAGTGAGGGTGTCTGGTAGTGAGGGTGTCTGGTAGTGAGGGTGTCTGGTAGTGAGGGTGTCTGTAGTGAGGGTGTCTGGTAGTGAGGGGTGTCTGTAGTGAGGGTGTCTGGTAGTGAGGGTGTCTGTAGTGAGGTAGGTCTGGTAGTGAGGTAGGTCTGGTAGTAGGGTGTCTGGTAGTGAGGGGTCTGTAGTGAAGGAGGTCTGTAGTGAGGGAGGTCTGGTAGTGAGGGAGATCTGTAGTGAGGGGATGTCTGGTAGTGAGGGTGTCTGGTAGTGAGGCGTCTGGTAGTGAGGAGGTCTGGTAGTGAGGGAGGTCTGGTGAGGGTGTCTGAGTGAGGAGGTCTGGTAGTGAGGGAGGTCTGTAGTGAGGGGTGTCTGGTAGTGAGGGTGTCTGGTAGTGAGGGTGTCTGGTAGTGAGGGAGGTCTGGTAGTGAGGGTGTCTGGTGTAGGGAGGCAGAAAGGTCTGTAGTGAGAAGGTCTGGTAGTCAGGGAGGCTTGGTAGAGGGAGGCGTAGTGAGGTGTCTGGTAGTGAGGGAGGTCTGGTAGTGAGGAGGTCTGGTAGTGAGAAGGTCTGGTAGTGAGAAGGTCTGGTAGTCAGGGAGGCTTGGTAGTCAGGGAGGTCCTGACATTGATATTTTCCAGGTATCCAAGAAGGGTTAAGTACATCAGCCAGCTCACCTGCCTCACCAATGACATAATAACATTTAAGTTCGGTTAATTTATGTAAATCCACTCATTTGCATCCTGCTCTATGATTAAGTACTTCTACCATTTCTCTAGGCTCGTATTATTTCATTATATTATATATACCAACTCTTATTGTTACATTTATGTTAATTGCTTTAGTATATTTTTAATGTTAATAAAGAACTAATCCGTTGCCAAGCGTACGACTTTGTTATTAGATTGCACGATAGTTTGTTACGAGGCTACCAGGCAGCGAGCTGACTGGTCGTACTGTACTACCGGTCGGTGGTTGGTCGAGTCCCTGGAATAGCTGGGCTGGTTGAGGCTACGGTGGCTACCCTAGGGCTGCTTCCCTCAGTGTCCGCTTGGACTCCGTGGCAGTAGGTTGTGTGTGTCGATACCTGGTGTGTGCGCCTGAGCTGTGAGACCTGAGTGAGGAAATGTTTAGCGACGTACAATAACGTTATTTAACTCTTAACCCTGACAATGTTTTGATGTTAAGGAGAACTGTTTTATAGTGCGTGGGCTAGAGAAGCCTTGGATTACTACCTGTCGGAAAACTTTGAACGAATCTCAGCTTTCACTTTGATGAGAAGAGAATGATCATATGTTAACTATTAATAATATATTTGCTCAAAATATAGAACTATAAGTACGTTTAGTATCCAGATATATTAACGTGTATAACAGTCTACGTAAATTACATAGACATACACAATAGAGCCAAAATATAAGTAGACGTTTTGAGTGTGGATATTAAAAGCCATTATAAGACACCTAAGACATAGTGAACTGTCTTCGAGGATGTGACAAAGACTCAACATTCTCCCAGTGAGAGAACACACGACCCTGAGATAAGAGAGATAAGGAAGAGAGACACCGACACACAAGTAAGAGGAGGAAGAGGTGTGAAGGATGGGAGAGGGAGTGAGAGTAGTGGTGGTGGTGATGCTGTTCCACCTCTCCCACCAGAAGCTCCCCTCCCATGTTGGTCTTAATGGCTTAGAGGACAGTAAGTATGATCAATGAGTCTCTTAAAATGTTTATTAATTACGTGAAGTATTTTTTCCATATTTTCCTTTTCTATTATTAATTTTTTACCAATTTTGCCTTTTTTATTTTTGGCTTTATATTATCTGTTTTTTCTGTCATCCTATTTATTGCTTCTTTACATATGTCATTAATATTTCTGTTTATGTTCTTGCCGCAATAATTATCACGTATACAGCTGCATTAAACACAAAATTCAACATTGATAGCTAACATCTATATTTGTTTTTAACTAATTAACTATTTCTCGTTGTAATTAATTACCGTACAAAAGATCGAGTTAACATTCATATTATTAACATTACCATATATATATATATACATCTGTGATAATATTTGCTCTGAATTGTGTCGTTATTTACAGTTTATATATATTGGTGTTAATGTTTATTATAGGTGTTATTGACATTATCCTTCATATATACACGATAGTAATTATTTTAATTATTATTGATATTGCAGTTTGTTTATGAGGATCATTATTTATTCTAGGCCTTATTATTATTATTATTATTATTATTATTATTATTATTAATTATTATTATTATTATTATTATCCCTTCATTAGAGATATTTATTTTAAACTTTTGATATTACTTTTCAAATATTCATATAAAAATCATTTAATACTTACCCGTAATACTCCTATATAAATAGCATATATAATTAATTCAGATTATTTAAGGTAATTGGCTCTTTTCACTGACCTAATGTAAGATGTTGTTAACGTAATACAGATCTACTATCCAGCGTAAGCCATTAAGTGAATCGTTATGAACGTAGTTGTCTTGTTAATGTAATTTCCGGGTTCTTCTCACCTGCCATCGGCTCAGGTGTGTATGTTAGGGTGTTTCCTCCCTCCACCCCAACACCTGGAGTTCGAATCCCTGTAGTGAGTTTAACTGAGGTGTTGAGTGTAGGTTTAGTTTTGGTTAAGTTAGGTTACATTTGTTTTGATAAGGTTTATTTAAGTATGGTTAGGTTTTCGTTGGGTTAGCTTAGTCTGAGTTAGGTTAATTTAAGTCAGGTTTGTTTTAGTTAGGTTACGTTTGGTTACATTTATTTGGGTTACGTTGATTTAAGTCAGGTTAGGTTATGTTACCTTAGGTTAAGTTAGGTTACATTAGGTGAAGCTAAGTTAGGTTACTTGAGGTTTAGTTAAATTTAGAAAATGGTACGTTAAATACCATTATGTTTGGTTAGGTTAAATTAAGAGGAGTTAGGTTAATCTAGTTTGAGTTTAGGGTTAGCTTATATTAAATCAATTCAGGTTAGGTTTCATTGCTCTTAGATACGACTCATTAATCTCCACAAGAGTTTATAATAGGCTCTTAGAATTGAAACTAGGGATGCCATTTGTCCCTACAATACATTACAGTGTTTATAATGTCTTCAGCAGAGGCGGTGTTATGTCTTATTAATCAGTGTTGGTGGTGAAACTGAAGTACTTGTTTATGTAGCTGGAAATGACAAACAAACATTATCAAACTGTTTACTTGTTGATCTGTTTTGTTGTTTATGTTTATTTTGATTTCGGTGTTTCAGTTGCCAGGGTTATTAGGCACTGTTGAGTAGGTTTGTGTTATTGGGCTTATGAAGCACTTTGTGTTGAAATGTTACACTGAGGGAATTAAGTCATCGTATTCAAGGGTTTAAGTTTTCGTGCTCATGGGGTTATCATCGTACTCAAGGACCTCAGTCAGCGTACTCAAGGGGTTAAGTCATCGTATTTAAGGTGTTGTCATTGTACTCAAGGGGTAGTCATCGTACTCGAGGAGTTAAGTCATCGCATTTAAAGGTTTGTCATCGTATTTAAAGGTTACTCAAGGGACTGTCATACTTAAGGTCAAATCGTACTCAAGGATGTGTATCGTACCAAAGACTTCATATACATATTGTATTTATGTAAACGTATGTATGTGCTTCCCGTAGTGAATCCGTGTGCGTCTTTTTCGTGTGTGCATTGCCTATATGTGTTTGTTTACACCTGTATGTATGTGTATCTTGTATGTGCGTACAGTATATATAGGTACAGAAATGCATCCAACTGCATTTCTTTGTCTTTGTATGTGTTTGTGCTTTGTGAATGTATAAATTAGTATTTCTTTGTATGTATTTATGTATATATGTATGTATGTATGTATGTATGTATGTATGTATGTATGTATGTCTTCATGATAACAAGAACCTCCTTGACTTAAGAGAAAAAAATAAGGACCCAGAACGCAAAACCCCTTAAGAGAATCTAACCCGATTAGAACAGTTTCAGGCCGCTTAAATGGCCTGATATAAATACGACCTGTCAACGTTGATTATTTCCACGCCACCACGCTGAGACACTAGGGTGAGGAGACTCCTCTCTCTCTCTCTCTCTCTCTCCTCTCTGTCCCTCCTCTACCATGCTGAGACACTAGTGAGGAGGACTCTCTCTCTCTCTCTCTCTCTGTCCCTCCCTACCATGCTGAGACACTAGGAGGAGGACTCTCTCTCTCTCTCTCTCTCTCTCTCCTCTCACCATGCTGAGACACTAGGTGAGGGAGGCCTCTCTCTCTCTCTCTCTCTCTCTCTCTCTCTCTCTCTCTCTGTCCTCCCCCATGCTGAGACACTAGGGTGAGGGAGGCCTCTCTCTCTCTCTCTCTGTTCCCCACCATGCTGAGGACAGTGAGGGAGGACTTCTCTCTCTCTCTCTCTCCTCTCTCCTGTCCCTCCTCACCATGCTGAGACACTGGGGGAGGCTTCTCTCTCTCTCTCTCTCTCTCCCTCACCATGCTGGAGACACTATGAGAGAGGACTCTCTCTCTCTCTCCTCTGTCCTCTCTCTCACCATGCTGAGACACTAGGGTGAGGGAGGCCTCTCTCTCCATCTCTCTCTCCTGACTCTCTCCCCACCATGCTGAGACACTAGGTGAGGGAGACTCTCTACGCTGAACAGGGGAGACACCTCTCTCTCCCACCATGCTGAGACACTAGGGGGGAGGACATCTCTCTCTCTCTCTCCCCACCATGCTGAGCACAAGGGTCTCTCTCCCCACCATGCTGAGACACCAGTGAGGAGGACATCCTCTCTCTCCCCACCAGCTGAGACATCGAGAGGACATCTCTCTCTCCCGATCGTATTTTCGTATGTCTATCATTCTATCTCCCCTCGATATATATGCCACGCCTCATCCGGCGTTGAACTGCGCTGATTTACACAATGCTCTAAGTTCATTTCAATGTTTCTTTTACGAGAGTGGTAACTATGTAAATTCAGGCGTAATTTCACAAAGGTTGAGTTCAAATGGGGCCCCATTCATAGGCCCCAGATTTATTGTCAAACCCCAACCCAACCTAAGTTAACCCATCTTATATAACCCAACCCAACCCTAATACTTTCCTTTTCTGATCAATTTCCAAACCTAACTTACCTAATCTGACTAATCTAATCTAACCTAATCATCAATAAATTTGGACTGAAACATATTAGATTTGTATTTTGATTTAATATTAGATTGTTAGGACTGGATCAACCAACTCGTGACTTAGAGGTTAGGTTAGGTTTTTCTTCAATAGGATTGGTTCCTTGATCTCAGTCTGTTAGGCTGTCTACTTAGCACTTATAAAAGATTGACGATGTAAAGCACAAGGCGGTGAACGAGAGAAAATGGGAAAATTTACCAAAAAAGGAGAGAGAGAGAGACGAGAGAAAGAATGAAAAATATACGAAACAGGATAGAAGAAAAATGAGCGAAAAGATGAGAGAAACAGGAAGACGAATGAACAGAGAGAGAGAGAGCGAGACAACCAAGAGAACGAAATTATGCGAGAAATTTTATAAAAGAGAAAATAATATAATGAAAGAAAATGAGAAGTGAATGAAAAGATAAAATGGTACAACGAGAGAAAGTGAGAAGTCAACGAACGGAATGAGAGGTGAGAGACGAAGAAGGTGAGAAGAGGTAGCAGGAACGAAAACGGAGAGAGGGAGCGTGAGAAGCGATTGAATGAGAAAATTAACGAAAACGGAAGGTAAAACGAGAGAATAAAGACGCATTGGGTCACTGCCCTGATGAACAGACTATACTGAGGATAATAATTCTGGAAGAGAGGCAAACAACAACACAATACGTAACTTATCATCTCTGTTCATTGTATATTTCCTCGGCCACAATGTTATCTTAATAAACCATTATTATTATATTATTATTATTACACACACTCTCTCTCTGCCTGTCTTTCTTCGTTTTTTTTTCTTTTCTAAGTACATAGCATAGATTCAGAAAATCCTGATTGCAAGTACATTTACCTAACCTAACCTAACCTAACCAACCAAAATTAACTGTTAACTAATCACCAACCTAACGGACCTAATTTTACACCTAAACCCAACCTAACTCAACTTAATCCCAAGCTTCAACCTAATTTAACCCAAGCCCAACTTAATGCAACGCTTCAACCTAATTCAACCCAAGCCGAACCTAATCAACCCAAGCCTCAACCTAATTTAACCCAAGCCAACCTAATTTAACCCAAGCTGAACCTAACCTAACCAAGCCTACTTCCAAACTAATCCGTCAATCAAACCAACGAAGCCGAACCTAATTCAACCCAAGCCTAACCTAATTTAACCCTAGCCTAACCTAATTTAATCCATTCTTAGCCTAACCTAACCCAAATCTAACTTACCCAATACTTAACTTAGACTAAAGTAAACTAATCTACAGCGAAGGAATTTATTCATAGATACAAAGGAATACAAAGAAAAGAAAATTGTCAAGCAAAACGAAATTATGCTAAAACAATACACGAATCCATTTACCAAATTACATGACCAAACTCTTCAGCTGTGCACAGACAAATACAGAAATTCACCAAAAGCAACGTGTCTGTGTATTTTTTCAATCAGATGAACATTCTTTTTTAGACACACTGAAAAACACAGGTATACAGCACAATGAAGTCTGTATGTTAAGTATATGTTCA